AGCAGCAGCAGAAGCAGTAGCAGCCTCTCCCTCCTTTTTAAACACATGCTCCAGAGGAGACCCCCAAAAGAGAGAGGTGTGGGCCTGCTGCACCCCAGGAACTGAGTCCAAGGTGGGGTGCCAGCACTTATGATACAGGGAGTGTTCACACAGCGTGACCACAAAGCACTGTCTCGCCATTTCCTTCTCCGGTGCTCAAGGCAGACACCAGAACACTGTCACTCACAGCTCACATGAGGAATTTTCAAGGATAATTTTCACCACATGCACCTTTTGTTTGTCATTATCTGTTCCTTTAGAGCCAACCTTAGACTAGCAAACCATCTCTTCCCTCCCCCTTTCTTCCTTCCCTCCCTCCCTTCCCTCCTTCTTTACCTCCATCTCTCCCTCCCTTCCTCCTTTCTTCCATCCTCCAATGACCTAGTACTATGAATACTATTTATCACTTTGTTTTTCCCACCTAGCAAATGCAGTCCCTAGCATTCTGGATAATGGAGATAAGGGCCAACATGATGAGAGCAAGTCAGAGGTTATTACCCAGATAAGAGATGATGGTGACTTGGATGGAGGTGGAGTAGCCATGGTGTGGGGAAACAGTTGGCTTCTGGATACAGAAAAGGCAAATCCTTCAGGGTTTGTTCATAGGGTGGAGGTGAGGTGTGAAAGGTCAGGAGTCAGGAACACCTTAGGGTCTGGACTGGAACATCCTGCAGGATTGGGCCAAGTGAATGAGGGGGGAAGGAAGGGGAGGGGAGAGATGAAGGAGACTCAGGAGCTCTGGGGATACCAGCTATCTGGTCTTGTTGGACCACAGAGTGCCAATGTGTATACAGACAGCTGTGTCAGAAAAAAATCCAGGAAGAGGTCAGGCCAAGAATATAAGTGAGTCAGTCCCCTACCTGTGGATGGGGATTTAATGTAGTCAGTCACTACATTAAATGAAATCACTGAAGGAATGAGCCTGATAGAACTGCCCTGGCATCCTCCAATGTCAGTGTCAGGAAGGTAGAAGATACATGGGATGGGATGGCTGAGGATGAGGTGGCACAAAAGGTCCTAAAAACCAAGGGAAGAGTAGAAGGGCAAGTGCTTAAATGCCACTGCTAAGTCAGAAAACAGGAATCTGAAAACACATGGCCAGGTGATGGGCCCCTCCCACAGTGCTGGCCCATCCCCCTGGCTTCCGGTGGGCTTGCAGTGCTTTGGATGATTTCATTACAAAGACATTCTTATTTGCGACTCCTAGGGTGAGCTTCCTGGCAGAAGGAGCATACAGCAAGTAGATGAGGCTAGCGTAGGAAGCAAGGAATCTGGCCAGCAGAGTTCCAGTCCTGGTTTGTCCATGTGCTCCTTGTGTGACCTTCAGAACCTGCTGGTGCTCCACTTCCTCACATGCACTAAGGAAGGCGATGCTCAAAGGAAGTTCCAGGGGACCAATGAGACTTTTCATACCCACTAGGAAAGTCTCACACAGAGACTCTCCTCCTCCTAACCAGGGATCCCTGTATAATTTGCAAAACCCCCTTTTCTAAATACAGGAGAAAAGCCCTTAAGATCATTAAAATATAATGTTCTCTCTTTTCTGAAATGGACTCTTTGGGCCTGTCATGGTGGGGAGGGGCTGTTGTTTGTTAGTGGTTTTCTTTGATTTGGGGGCTGTTTCAGTCTTTTTGAGGCAGGCTCTCTCCGTAACCCCACCTGGCCTGAACTTACTACGTAGACCAGGCTGGTCTTCCTCAATCTCACAAAGATTCACCTGCCCGCCTCTGCCTCCCCTCCTGAGTGCTAAAATTAAAGGCATACACTACAGCTACTGGCTTATGGTGTTTTTTTTTTTTTTATTTGTAGTTTAATGTCTTTTGAAGTGACATAGATAAATAAAAAGGTTCTCTATTAGTATAAATCTTACTATTGACCTTATATTGTGCAATGCCAAGTTTTAAGTGCAAATATAAGAACTTAGAACTCATAAACAGAATCAACAAAATAACACAATCTGTATTTCACAGCTCACACACATACATGCATTTCCTTCTTACCAAAACAGCAAAGACCACACAAAACAAAGTCAACTGTTTCAATTTCACTTTGTCATACCCAGCATTTTAGCAACTGCTGAACAACCAAGGTGAAAGGGACAATCAATTCTCTCTCTCTCTCTCTCTCTCTCTCTCTCTCTCTCTCTCTCTCTCTCTCTCTCTCTCTCTCTCTCTCTCTCTCTCTCTCTCTCGCGCGCGCGCGCGCATGCATTCCGAGCTAGTAGGAATGATGTCCGTGTGTCCGCCTTGCTTGCTTTTCTTAGGATAGCATTCTTGAATCTGAAGCAGTTCATTCTACACAGTGCGGTTCTCACTGCCTGTGGCTGTCAGTGCTCCTGCTTACTCAGCTGTAGAGTAGCACGCTTACCTTGGACTTGCTTGAAGTCTGCCTGACCTCCTACATAGCATACAGGTCCACTGGGATCCTGCGCTTAGGGGCCAAAAAGGAAGCCATATGCAAACGAGGCAGCAAGAAACAGCCATGGACATGCATCACGCACACATCTCCTCTATTCACATACATGCTCCATTGCTCATCAGTCCTCACTTACAAAACACAAGTTCAAAGGTGAATGTATTAAGAATTTGAAGATAAGAAGAGCAGAGATTTAAATCAAGCTTGGGACCTTCTGAGAACTGGGCCCTGTGCAGTTGCATGGATCACCCCCCTACCCCCACCGCCAGGAAGGCATCTCTGCTGCCAACCTCCCTCTGAAAACACAATCATAGCAGTGCCCCACAGGTGTGGGTCTGTCTTCCCCAACTAGACTGCAAGGCTAACCTTGCTCAGTTATGGTACCAGGACCCAGAACAAGCCATGGTGCATTGGAAGTACTCATGACACACCGTAGAATGAAGAGAACTGTAGGAACAAGTCCCCTGGTGCTCAGCCATGAACAATAGTGGACTTTCCCACAGCAGTTCCTGTCCCTCATTTCATTCATCCATTCTGTCTCCAGTGGGTCCTCAGGAAGCTCACAGTCTGCAGGGGAAGCTACTGAATGTAAAATTTACTCACCCACAAGTGCTACTGTGTTCTAAGCATAGTACCTGCTATATACATCATGTGCTTGGTGAATGCCCAGGATGAAAAGGATGCTGTAGATGCCATGGCAACAAGAGACAATGGAGCATTAAAGATGGAGTGTTACAGATCCCATGGAAGGGCTTTAGAGATGCAAGAAAGGCACATGTAACCCAACCTTGGGCTCCTGGGGTGGAATACCTGAGGAGATAGATTCTTAGAGGGTAATGTGCCCTGAAAAGAAAGGTCTCCTGGACTGGGAAGCTGGCTCAGTCATGAGCCCACATGCCTTATAAGCACGGGGGCCTGAGTTCAATCCCTGGAAACTGAGTAAAAAGCCAAGCCTGGCAGCATGCAGCTGTAATCCCAGCGATGACAGGATTAGAGGCAGAGACAGGCGGGTCTTCGGAAGCTCAGTGGCCTAGCCTACTTGAGGAAGCTCCAGACCAATGAGAGACCCTGTCTCAAACAAAAGGAGGAAAGCACCTGAGGGATGACATTCGTCCTCTGACCTCCATATGCAGATGCACTCACATGCATCACATGCATGTGCCCCGCACACAAGAAAGTTTCCCCAACAAGAGTGAGCAGCTCTGAAAAAGCATCGTGATCTACCAGCCTCGTCCTTCTTAGGAGGCGTATGGCAGGTGGGGTGGAGTGTGATGCTAGGTGGGCAGCTGGGATCTGGGACGTAGTACAATCAACTTCTTGGCAGTGACATGAACAAAACTCTCCCTAGAAACCAAAGGAGTTGCTGGCCCCTGCTAAGGGAAACAGTAGCTGGCCTCCATGAACACTAAATGGGAGCTTGTTCCTAGGTGCATGTGGAGGGCATCTAAACCAGGGAAACGGTCTGAAGTCAGAAGGCAACTTTGTCTTTGAGAAATGGTGAGAAAGTGCGGAGATGTACAGAAAAAGTAACAGCTCAGCATTAACTGAGCATGTGCTATGTGCCAAGCTAATGGTGCTGTGCTCTCTTACTCTCTCCCAATGACAGCCTTGTGGTATAGGTATTTTTATGATCTTCATTTTACAGATGAAGAAATCAAAGACTTAAGTAACTTAGCCATGGCCCCATATCATCTCTAGGCCTCAGGAGGCCCTTCCAGACCTGCAAGATTCCGGGGATGCCGTGTGACTTGGGACACTCGCTATGCTGGGCATATACACGGTTGCTTGGCAACAAAACAAGTAGTCAAAGAGCTTTGAAAGGAAAATGATGAGTTCCATTTGGGGTACCCCTGGAAGGTGTAGCCAGTGCAGGCGTGTGTTTACGTCTGTCTCTCAGAAAAGATGAGCCACCTGCCAAAGAGATTTAGAAGTCTTGAACTAACTGGTACTCACTGAACCCATGACAGGAGATGCATGAAGAGACGAGCCCTGTGGTACACAACCATTCAAGGGCCAGAGGAGGAAAGAGAGATGCAGGAACTGAGAAGATGGAGAAGCATAAAGGGGAAGCAGAGTAGGGATACCCAGAAGCTGTTGGACATCCAAGTCACATTCTACAGGGACAGCCAAACAGAAGAGAGCTGTAAGAAGCACTTTAGACTGTGCAAAGGTCCCCATCTATGACTTCATCCAGAAGTCCCCCTCCACTGGCAGAAAAGAGGAAAAGGACAATTGGTAGGTGTAAAATTAGGTGCAAATGCTCCTTTTTACAACTCATAGGGGGGAAAAATCATCCTTTGTCTATAATTTCCAGATTTGAAGTCTGAAATGATACAGTAACCAGATGCAAAGTGTAACTTGACTGTGAGATATATGACAGGCCGCTTAGCATCTCTCTTAGGGCTTCACTGTCCTATCTATAGACAAAGGTGTTTGAAGAGGGATACTTAGTTTTCTTCCAGATCTAGTTTCTCCTGGACCATTCCAAATGCTCTGAGGATGTTGGTGTAACAGGAAGGATTGATGAAGGAGAGACACACACATACCTGTCGGTCTGCTGCAGGCCCCCTCATATCCTGGTCCCTCTCCATCTCATTTGCTCCGCAGTCTTCTGAGGTAGCTCCCAAGCCACTGATGAGAAACACATGTTTCTGGGCAGCTGTGGGATGGCTCAGTGTAACCAAAGGGACAGCAGAAAGAAAGAAAGCAAAAGAAAAATAAAGGAAGGAAAGAAATGAGCGTTGGTATTCTGGGCCCTGCAGACAATCCTCCCATTGATGTGCTGTGAGTCACAGTGGCTGCCAGGCCATCGTGGTTCCTGAATCACTTCCTTCAAGAGGAACTCTTCAACTTGTTCACTGGCTGGCCTCGGCCAGGGCTGGAAGGCAAGGAAATCGGGCCCCTCTGTGAAGCTCTGCCTCTTTTCCTGCCCATCAGAGCTGCAACAGGAAAGGTAGAGGTCCAGGCAGAGGGACCCAAACAGAAGGTAGACAAGCAAGTAGATCCCACTTGTCCAAACAGACGAACCCTAAAGCTCATGCCCTCATTCCTGGTTAGAGATAAGAGTGAAGCAAAACAGATTAGAGTCCTCATTTGTCTCCAGTGGGCCCCAAACTTGGCTGAATCCGGATTTCTGTTACTCTGGATGACGTGGGCAAGATGAGCATCTTGAGGATGTGAGTTCGATGCTGGTCCCTCCTTCAGTGGCTCACATTAGGGAACCCTGAACAGCATCTTCAAGTCTCCCATCTTGCAGTTCCCATTGTTGAGGACAAGGGTCTGAGTGGCCCAAGATTTCCTCAGCAGGGTGTTTGTACCTAAGTAACCATCTTTCATTCATTCAGCAAAAAACTTTAGTCCTTTCTCTGGGCTAGCACCAGGGATTCCAAGAGGAAATGGATATGGTCCCAGCTGTAAGAGCAGCAGGCAAATCAAGATGTAAATTCAGCATGGCAAGTGTTTTGATGGAACACTTGAGGGAGATCATAAACGCAGGCCTGTGGTTGGGGAGAGCCCAGGGAAGGCATCCAGAAAGATTTGTTGGATTGAATAAGGCGACATGTGATGCCATTTTCCTCTGCCCACACACGGCTCCTCCTGTCTCCCTAACTCCCTTGTGGCCAAAGCACTTTCCATAAGGTATCTATTCTGCCTGAAGTTGAGACCCACCCTGTAAGAGGTGAAGTGTTGCCTCTCCTCCATGCCAAAGAGGGCGCTCTTTCCCAACAACCCCTTCAGGTTGAGACTGTGCCACAGTGCGGCCACCTGGTGGGCAGGCTGGGCCAGGTCCAACCAACAGATACTGTTCCTGGGGTATTCAACAGGGTTGAGGCCACCTGAAAGCACACTAAAAAGAAACTGGCTTCGGTGACAAGTGGGAAGAGACCCTTCTAAGAAAAGCCTGTCCACCTTGAGCTAGTTGCAGTCACCCTTGAAGAAGGTGGACTTGGGAAAGAAGCTTCTTTAGAGCAGGCACCACATCTTAATCTCATCTTAAGATGTCTAGCCCCTAATTGGCTTGGCTCTACAAATCATCATTGAGCCAACAGATGATATAGACACTTAGGAGGAAGGTTCTAGAAAGAGCCAATGTTGTTTGCAGATGAGAGTTCAGATTGTGTATACTGTCTAGTATGACTTTCTTTTTCTCTGATGCATCCCAGGTATAGTGACTTGCCCCGGGTCACACAGCTCCTCTCAGAGCTGAGAGTGGCGGACATGTCCACTGACTTGCCATTGGCTGCCTGGCAGGGTCAGCCAATGCTTAAATAAGGAAGAAGGCTGTGCAGAAGTGCAGGCATTTGCCTAGGGCTGGACCCTGTGCGACAACTTTCCACTGAGAATCTCTGAAATGGCTCTTCAAAGACTCTAAGGCTGGCCTATGATCCTGGGGAATAAAGGAACTCCAATATGTGGTTGAAGAAAGACGTTTTTTAGAAAAAGTCTAGTGATTCAAGGAACATAGGAAGAGCCCAAATGCAGCACTGGACATACAGAGAGTGATGTGGGAAGGGACCAGGCATGTCACAGGGCCAGGTAGAGCTCTCATCTTCCAGAAAGTAACAGTTATGAACTAGCACAGCTTGTCTTGATGGTGCGGGGACCTAAGCTCCAGGTGGGCGTGGCTACCCAGTAGGAAACAGCAAGTTGGGCCCATGTTAGAAAACAAAGGGTCTGACTGGCTTTCCAATTCCCCTCTCCCTTGAGCCCCCTGACTTTTCTACCACTCTCCTGCTAGACCATCCGTGGTTCCCATTGCCTGCAGGGTAGAATCCCAATCTTCCCTTCTTGTTTCTCCATTCCACCTCTCTCACCATATGCATCAGCCCTTCCCGCCTCATCCCCACTTTGATCACACTGATGCCTTGCGTGGGCTCGGATCCCAGTCATTCCACTTGACATTGCTGTGACCTTGAAGAAGTCACTGAGCTCTCTTATCCACGCTTCCTGTGTGCCTGTGTTCCCTCATCCATGAGAGGGAGATTCCAAAGGCACGTACCAACTGTGTCACTGTGAGAATCAATGGATCTCAGCCTGCAAAGCCCTCTGAACAGTGCCTTGCATGCGGTCTGCTCACCATGTGTGAGCAGTAATTCCTGTTACTGTCACTAAATATATCCTGTTCCTCTGCTCCTTCTGACACATCCCTGCCTTCTCCTCAGGTGGGGCTCATTCTTGAAACTCCTTCTTCAAGATCCAGCCCCTTGTCTCCTTAGCCACAGGGAAAATGTGTGGCATCCTCATCTTGGCATGTGCCCCTCTCTCATCGACACCCTGAATGTCTCTGTCCATCAAAGCAGAGCAATGGCATCTGCTGGTCATGGCACGCCTCATGGATCAGATGGGCAACTTCACAGTCAGAATGTAGAGCTTGCAAAGCCCTGGCAGGCATGGGAGATGAGTGTTTTTGCAACTGTGGAAGAGATGTCGGCTGCCCACCCTGTGACTTGCTGAGGGCTTGTCCCTTACTGCTGTAGCCTTGACCTGGAGACCAGCCTCCAGGACACCCCCTCCAGCCTCACAAACACAAGCTCAGCTATGCATCCCTGCTGAGTTCCACCTGCTTCCCAGGCGCTGACAGCTCCATTCCTCACCCACTCACCCACCCAGGGTTCAGGAAAGTCACATGCCAGCTGTGAGTTCAGGACACAACCAGCTAGCCCACCCAGAGCCCCCACCACTCCTCTCCCACTGCCATCCTCTGGTCCTACCTCTTCACCCCCTCCCACCCACCTCTGCCCTTTTTCCACCTGTCTCCCCCAGACCCTCTTTGCAGTGAAAATAGAAGGCTTTCTTCTCAGCTCCTACCCCTTCCCGTTTTTGTTCTCCTTCCTCCCCCACCCCTTGTCAGAGATTTTAACAAGCCTTCCTTCATCCACTCATCAAGCTTTGTAAGGAGCGCTTACTCCCTCTGCAAGGCATTGTGGGAAATTCCAGATGAATACGATATAAACACTGCTCTAGCGGGGAGGGCAGACTTGGGAACCTTAGTTAAAGGTCTGTTTCAGGGAGAAGCCAGAGGCTTACTCTATTTCCCTGAACCCCTCACCATTCTACCTTGGCCTGGGCTTTACTGTGCAACCTCCACTCCCCTGAGGACGCACTGAGATAGGGAACTTGGTCTAAAGTTATGCCACACCTACACGGTAGTGACAAAAAACAAAGCAGGCACCATTTCCCCAAGTCAGACCCTCACCTTGCAGCACGGCAAGGTGTGGCAACGTATCTGATGCAGAGATAAAGGTGATGGGTTATGAATCGTAGTAAGCTTCTGCAGACCAAATGCTACATCCCTTCTAAACATATGTATTGGCACCTTACCTCTCCTCCAAAATAAGGGAACTTGGAGGTGGGACCTTTGGGAGGTGATTAGGTCCTGAGGGTGAACTCCTTGTGAATGGGGATTAGTGCCCTTATAAAAGCCTCCAAGAAGGGCTGGGGAGATTGCTCTGTCTATAAAGGGTGAGGACCCAAGTTTGATCCCCAGAACCCATACTACAGCCTGACATGGTGAGGCACACTTGTAATCATAGCACTGGGATGGCAGAGACAGAATTCCTGGGGTCCACTAGCAAACCCCAGGTACTGAGACACTGTCTCAAGACATAAGGTGGACCGTTCCTGAGGCATGACTCCTGAGGTTGACCTCTGGCTCACACACACCAGCACACACATGTACATACCCATGCACATGAACAGAGAGAGAGAGAGAGAGAGAGAGAGAGAGAGAGAGAAACATACACACCCACACGAACAAAAAGAGAGAGAGAGAGAGAGAGAGAGAGAGAGAGAGAGAGAATGAGAGAGAGAGAGAGACCTCTGAGAGCTCCCTCACTCCTCCAGCCATATGAGGACATACTGATAAGGCCCCATATTATGAATCTATGAACTCTTAACAGACACAGGATCTTCTAGGACCTTGATCCTGATGTTCCAGTGCCCAGGACTATAAGAGATAAGCTTCTGCTGTTCCCAGATCTGTGGTGCTGTGTACTCAGTTGATGTGGACTCAGACAGAAGCATCTAAGGGCAATCTCCACACACCACTTTCACTGTCATTGCTCATACCCAAGACTGCCTAGTTTCTCCTGTGCTCTCCAGCCCACAACCAACTGGAGTAAATAGCAAAGCCACCTCTCATTTTAGTTATATAGTATCTCCCTGTAGACCTGACACTCAGGTTGGGGCCGGGGGGACAAGGAGGCTAGTAAAGCCTTATGAAAGATTGGTCACATGTGAAGGTCTCCTCTGAGTGTTTTATATGCACGGAGTCACTTACTCCTCAGAATGGTCCATAAAGATGGGACTATTTGCTACCACCAGTTTGCTAAAGGAAAGGAGGCCCACGGAGGTGCCTACCCAAGACTACACAGCTGGTAGAGGCTGGGCTGGGATTGGACTCTGGAGAGGCAGTCTCTAGAATTTGGGCTCTGGGTGACTTTGCTGCTCTGTCTCACAAAAGCTTAAAAGACAAACACAGTCAGACCCTGTATCTGTGAGTTCTGTATCTGCAGAGTTAACCAACCGGGATCCAAATTATCCCCCTAATTGTGTCCATACTGAGTATGTGGGGACTCTTCCCCTGCCATGCTCCGGGAAGTGATGCAGCCTAACAACTGTTTGCATAGTGCTCTGGGTAAGTGCATAGAGATGATTTAGAGCATGGGGGGACGGGGGGTATGGACAGGTTACATGCAAATGCTCTGCAGTTTTAC